CACACTGAGGATTGCTCTGTAACCCTAGGCCTGTTAATAACAAATGTTGCATTATTTATAGGGTTGGCTGGTTAGGCAGATGCCTCTGATCTTGGAACGGTGTTCTCACAATATTATGATGATTTTGCATTTCCAGTTGCATATGCTGGATGAAAGGTGGACCATGCATAGTGTCGCATACGACTTGTTTACCACTTCCGTGTGACTGAGAATGTTCTAGAACCGTACTGTGTCTGGGTGGAATTTTTAGAAGTTGGTTGAATAGGTAATAGGACACTGTAGAAGGCAATAGAAGGTAATGGAACATTCTAGAAATTTGTAGTAAGTTCCAGACTCATTATGTATGCTGATGTAATGGTCTATTTATAGACAGTGTGGGTATATATAGGGGAGTTGTTCAGCACTGAGATCAGATCGGAGATCTCATTGAATTGTATTGGAGTTTAAGTATCTAGTTATTGGAGTAGTGGAGTTTTACCGCGTTATTGTACTTGATGTTTGCAGAGTATAATAATACCAGTACCAGTTGAAACCTCATTTGTTGGCTCCGTGTTCGTATTTTATCATCGCCGCCAGGGACGTCTTTTTGTTACTGTTGCCATTTTGGTATTTGAACCATCACAACTGTACTATACCAATTACGGTAATATTACGTTGCGTGTGACATCTGGGGGCTCGTCCGGGAACAGTGAAGACATATAGAAGACAACATGGCCAGCGAGATAAAAGATATGTCGAAACAAGAGTTGATGGAATGGGCGGATGAACTGGGAATGACTGGAGAAGACAAAAGGAAATTTATTTTGGAGCAATTGAGTTCTCAGCGGGCTGACAGACAAGCGGCAAGGGAAGAGAGAAAGGCAAAAATGGAAAAGGAAATAGAAGTAGAGGTGAGGAAAATGAAGATTGAGGAAGAAAGGAAAAGTACGTCTGGAAGCGGAAGCAAAACAGCGAAGAAAAAGAAAGGGAGATTGAGGAAAGAAAGAAAGTTACGGCTGGAAGCGGAA